AATGACAGTGTTAAATGAAATGACAGTGTTAAATGAAATGACAGTGTTAAATGAAATGACAGTGTTAAATGAAATGACAGTGTTAAATAAAATTTGACAGTGTTAAATGAAATGACAGTGTTAAATGAAATGACAGTGTTAAATGAAATGACAGTGTTAAATGAAATGACAGTGTTAAATGAAATGACAGTGTTAAATGGAATGACAGTGTTAAATGAAATGACAGTGTTAAATGGAAAGAGTCATGATCTCCAAGAAGTCAGGTCGAAACAGAGCAGCAGCCTGAAATAAAAAAAAATAAAAAAAATATATAGTAACGATATTTAAAAAAAAAATAAATAGAGAGCAGTAAATTACAGAGCAATGTTATTAACATGTTTAATGTTATGGAGACGTTCATCAGGAGAGAAGTGGAGAACCTAGAACCGAGCAGCACAGATTGAGAAATGGTAAATCCTGTCTCATAAATCTCCAAGAGATATATGACAATGTAAGATGGGCAGGAGAGAGGGACGAGTGGGCTGTATATTTACTGGACTGTGAAGTTCCAGAACTACACAAGAGACTGGGACAAATGCTAGAGGAGTAGGCAGAGACATGTGGGGAAAATACTTGAGTAGACCAAGGAATACGTAACAGGAAGGAAACAGCGTCATTGTGACGCCAACATTGTTCCATGACAATTGACTAACGTTATTCTATTCTTGAAATCAGCAAAAGTTCGTAAGCTCGTGGTAAAGGAATCACAATTTGTTCACAAGCTGGTGGCACTTTAATTATGGAAGATTAGTGTACAAATTATTGCAGTCAGACCAGGGATTGCACTGCAACAAGAATAAGACCATGTGTACCTGTAACACGTATACCACGTGTATACAGAAACTGTGTAAAGAAAATACCAGTAATCCTTCCTAGTTACTCATTTTCTCTCTAGTTTATTTGTTGTTTCAATATCATAAGACCATTAAACCCATGTAAGTTATCCAGCACATGAAATACTGAAGTCTGATTCCTGACTTCGTGGAAACAACCTGGTCTCTGAATACATGCTTTATTTCAGATACATGATAATATACACTTGGAAAATCGTAGAGGGATTGGTACCAAACTTGCACACGAAAATCACTCCTAATGAAAGCAAAAGACTCGGCAGGAGATGCAACATTCCCCCGATGAAATGCAGGGGCGCCACGAGTACACTGAGAGAGAACACAATAAGTGTCCGGGGCCCAAGACTGTTCAACTGCCTCCCAGCATACATAAGGGGGATCGCCAATAGACCCTTGACTGTCTTTAAGAAGGCACTATAGAGGCACCTAAAGTCAGTGCCTGACCAACCGGGCAGTTGTTCGTACGTCAGTTTGCGTGTGGCCAGCAGTAACAGACAGGTTAATCAGACCCTGATCCAGCACGAGGCCTGGTCTCAGATCGGGCCACGGGGGCGGTGACCCCCGAAACCCTCTCCGGGGACATTCCAGGTATACTCATCAGGTATACTCTCCAGGTATACTCTCCAGGTATGCTCTCCAGGTATACGCCAGGTATACCCCAGGTATACTCTCCACGTATACTTCAGGTATACTCCAGATTTACTCTCCAGGTATACTTTCGAGGTATACTCTCCAGGTATACTCTCCAGGTACAATCTCCAGGTATAATCTCCAGGTACAATCTCCAGGTACAATCTCCAGGTATACTCTCCAGGTATACTCCAGGTATACTTCAGGTATACTCTCCAGGTATACTCTTCAGGTTTACTCTCCAGGTATGCTCTCTAGATATACTCCAGGTATACTCTAGGTTTACTCTCCACGTATACTCTTCAGGTATACTCTCCAGGTATACTTTGGATAACTCTCCAGGTATACTCTCCAGGTATACTCTCCAGGTTTACTCCCCAGGTATATTCTCCAGGTATACTCTAGGTATACTCTCCAGGTATATTCTCCAGGTATACTCTAGGTATACTCTCCAGGTATACTCTCCAGGTATACTCTCCAGGTTTACTATCCAGGTTTTACTCTCCAGGTATACTCTAGGTATACTCTCCAGGTATACTCTCCAGGCATACTCTCCAGGTTTTACTCTCCAGGTATACTCTAGGTATACTCTCCAGGTATACCCACAAGTAATCTGCCTCTTTCGCCAACTCAGTATCAACTACAGACAGTTATATACATATTAATATCATTACTCTACATTCGTAAACAGCTCGGTACTAGCAGAGTACTTGAACACAGTCCTAGTGCATCTTACAGTAACAACCAGTACCTCTAGTGATCTCAGTTTACACAGTACCTTAGTATACTTACAGTTAACAACAGAACGCCTATGTGCATACTTACAGTTAACAACAGTCCCTAGTGCATCTTACAGTTAACAACAGTCCCTAGTGCATCTTACAGTTAACAACAGACCCTAGTGCATCTTACAGTTAACAACAGTCCCTAGTGCATCTTACAGTTACAACAGTCCCTAGTGCATCTTACAGTTAACAACAGTCCCTAGTGCATCTTACAGTTAACAACAGTCCCTAGTGCATCTTACAGTTAACAACAGTCCCTAGTGCATCTTACAGTTAGCAACAGTCCCTAGTGCATCTTACAGTTAACAACAGTCCCTGGTGCATCTTACAGTTAACAACAGACCCTAGTGCATCTTACAGTTAGCAACAGTCCCTAGTGCATCTTACAGTTAACAACAGTCCCTAGTGCATCTTACAGTTAACAACAGTCCCTAGTGCATCTTACAGTTAACAACAGTCCCTAGTGCATCTTACAGTTAACAACAGTCCCTAGTGCATCTTACAGTTAACAACAGTCCCTCGTGCATCTTACAGTGAACAACAGTCCCTAGTGCATCTTACAGTGAACAACAGTCCCTCGTGCATCTTACAGTTAACAACAGTCCCTAGTGCATCTTACAGTTAACAACAGTCCCTCGTGCATCTTACAGTTAACAACAGTCCCTCGTGCATCTTACAGTGAACAACAGTCCCTAGTGCATCTTACAGTTAACAACTCTCCCTAGTGCATCTTACAGTTAACAACAGTCCCTCGTGCATCTTACAGTTAACAACAGTCCCTAGTGCATCTTACAGTTAACAACAGTCCCTCGTGCATCTTACAGTTAACAACAGTCCCTCGTGCATCTTACAGTGAACAACAGCCCTACGTGCATCTTACAGTTAACAACAGTCCCTCAGTGATCTTTACAGTTAACAACAGTCCCTCGTGCATCTTACAGTTAACAACAAGTCCCTCAGTGCATCTTACAGTTAACAACATCCCCTAGTGCATCTTACAGTTAACAACAGTCCCTCGTGCATCTTACAGTTAACAACAGTCCCTCGTGCATCTTACAGTGAACAACAGACCCTAGTGCATCTTACAGTTAACAACAGTCCATCGTGCATCTTACAGTTAACAACAGTCCCTCGTGCATCTTACAGTGAACAACAGTCCCTAGTGCATCTTACAGTGAACAACAGTCCCTCGTGCATCTTACAGTTAACAACAGTCCCTCGTGCATCTTACAGTTAACAACAGTCCCTAGTGCATCTTACAGTTAACAATAGTCCCACGTGCATCTTACAGTGAACAACAGTCCCTAGTGAATCTTACAGTTAACAAAAGACCCTAGTGCATCTTACAGTTAACAACAGTCCCTAGTGCATCGTACAGTGAACAACAGACCCTAGTGCATCTTACAGTTAACAACAGTCCCTAGTGCATCTTACAGTGAACTACAGTCCCTCGTGCATCTTACAGTTAACAACAGACCCTAGTGCATCTTACAGTTAACAACAGTCCCTAGTGCATCTTACAGTTAACAACAGTCCCTAGTGCATGTTACAGTTAACAACAGTCCCTAGTGCATCTTACAGTTAACAACAGACCCTAGTGCATCTTACAGTTAACAACAGACCCTAGTGCATCTTACAGTTAACAACAGTCCCTAGTGCATCTTACAGTTAACAACAGTCCCTAGTGAATCTTACAGTTAACAACAGTCCCTAGTGCATCTTACAGTTAACAACAGTCCCTAGTGCATCTTACAGTTAACAACAGACCCTAGTGCATCTTACAGTTAACAACAGTCCCTAGTGCATCTTACAGTTAACAACAGTCCCTAGTGAATCTTACAGTTAACAACAGACCCTGGTGCATCTTACAGTTAACAACACTCCCTAGTGCATCTTACAGTTAACAACTCTCCCTAGTGCATCTTACAGTTAACAACAGTCCCTAGTGCATCTTACAGTTAACAACAGACCCTAGTGCATCTTACAGTTAACAACAGTCCCTAGTGCATCTTACAGTTAACAACAGACCCTAGTGCATCTTACAGTTAACAACATCCCTGGTGCATCTTACAGTTAACAACAGACCCTAGTGCATCTTACAGTTAACAACAGTCCCTAGTGCATCTTACAGTTAACAACAGACCCTAGTGCATCTTACAGTTAACAACAGTCCCTAGTGCATCTTACAGTTAACAACAGACCCTAGTGCATCTTACAGTTAACAACAGACCCTAGTGCATCTTACAGTTAACAACAGACCCTAGTGCATCTTACAGTTAACAACAGACCCTAGTGCATCTTACAGTTAACAACAGTCCCTAGTGCATCTTACAGTTAGCAACAGTCCCTAGTGCATCTTACAGTTAACAACAGTCCCTGGTGCATCTTACAGTTAACAACAGACCCTAGTGCATCTTACAGTTAGCAACAGTCCCTAGTGCATCTTACAGTTAACAACAGACCCTAGTGCATCTTACAGTTAACAACAGACCCTAGTGCATCTTACAGTGAACAACAGACCCTAGTGCATCTTACAGTTAACAACAGACCCTAGTGCATCTTACAGTTAACAACAGACCCTAGTGCATCTTACAGTGAACAACAGATTGTTACATTGCCCCACAGATCAGGAACAATATCCCCAGACAGGCCAAAACAGACGCAATATAATACCCTCTGGATTAGAGTTACTTACATTTCATGTCGATAATGACAGCTTCAGTCAATGGCGGTGTGAGATGAGTGTTGAGGGCTCGACACACCAGGGTCTTATTGAGGTCTCGACGGGTGAGAGGATACAAGGAGAGGGCATTACGTGTCACTTGACCTGACTTAACCTCACTCACATCGTCCAAGAGGGATCCTTCGTACCACCACGTCACTTCTGGTCGAGGTCGACCTTAAAACAGACAGAAATAAGCTAAACAATTTTATATGTATTAAAAAATATGTATAACTGCGAATATATATATATATATATATATATATATATATATATATATATATATATATATATATATATATATATATATATATATATATATATATGCAAGGAATTCGCAAGAGCAGGCGAAATATACACAAACACTGATCTCTGGCTGAAGGAGACTCGAACCTACGAACCTTGGAACAAGGTACGCAGTGCTTTACCAATCTCCCCACACCGGACCAATACCTTGGAGTCCAGCTTGCGCTAGACTTTGATCCAAGGCAGCCAGCTTTCAGGGAGAAGGCTTACAGCTTTTCTTCTCATCCCCTGCATGTATATTTCGTCTGCTCTTGAGAATTCCTTGCATTGTATAATATATAATAATGACTTAATACGCGTTTTTCCCATCAGAACAACAGGACCAATAGAGGAGTCGTGATAGGACGCCTCTATTGGATATCCAGCCCAATATACTAAGAAGGGGAGTTTGTATACCTTCAACAGGCCTTCCAACAGCTTAATTTCCCACCACACTACATGAACCACCACTGAAAGAAATCCACACACGTCCTCAACAGGAACAAAACAAATAGAACTGCCCGAGAAACAAATCGTTCTACCAGTGAGTAAAGTGGCGTTTAATGCGACATCATTTATGACTGGCGGACAAGTGAATATAGCCACCAACGCCTTGACCTCCATCAGATTCTTAGCAAAAGATATGAACAATACACGGACGATCTGTTAAGATGCAGGTCTGCGTGAATCATAGTTACTATGATTGCTTGGAGCAGCAGTGATAGAAGCAAATAACACCATCTTTCAGAAATCATCAGGCGGCTATAGAATATCCAAAACCTTAGCCAAAAGATTGCTACACAGCCACTGGATGTCGCTACAGCAATATGGATAACTAAGGAGGCCTGCTAGACTTAATTTTTTTTAAGTTAGCCAAGTATATACATAAGTACGACAAGGCATCTAATTACTGGGAACAGTTGAAGCCCCTTGATTTGTATTCCCTGGCACACAGGGAAGAGAGTTGCATGATAATGTACACTTGGAGAATCCTAGAGGGATTAGTACCAAACTTGCACACGAAAATCACTCCTATGAAAGCAAACGACTCGACAGATGATGCAACGTTCCCTATGTATTCCTCCCGGCATATATAGAAAAGATTACCAATAGACCCCTGGCTGTCTTCAAGAAGGCGCTGGACAGGCACCTAAAGTCAGTACCTGACCAACCGGGCTGTGGATCGTACGTCAGCTTGCGTGCGGCCAGCAGTAACAGCCTGGTTGACCAGACCCTGCTCCACCACGAGGCCTGGCCTCAGATCGTTGACCCCCGAACACCTCTCCAAGTATACTCCAGGTACGTTATTCCACTGGTGACCTGTTCTTCTCGTCGTACAGCCATCTCGCCACAGCTGTACGTCTACAGCTGTCACCTAACTCCCGCCTCAATACACACATTTCTTAGGCATCTCTGTATTAGACTGAAAATATCACTAGTGGAGAAACCTTTCCTTAATTAATATATCGATCAGTGCATAAGTGCCTTTTACCTAACAGACACTTTGTGAATTATGTACCGGATTACATTGAATTATATATATATATTTCAGAGTGAATAATATTTGTAAGGATGATGGGTTAATTATTAATTATTCATGATGAACTGTATACAAGAGAATTGTCTGTGGATTGTATATAGAGAAATTGTGGGTGAATTATATACACAAAGACACTGGATGTATTATATAGAGAAGGATTCTGGATGATTTATATACAGGAGAGTTGAGGTGAATCTAAGAAGAGCAAACTTGGATACAGAGTGAGTTTGTCATTTATACTTTTAAATTTCGTGTTAATACTGGGAATAAATTAGTTTTTATATATGCAGATAAGGTTGTCACATAATGTAAGTAAAATACTTAAAATTTTTATCATCTTTTACATCCCAGCACCTAGGAGGATAATTCCAAGCACCCAGCAGGATAAATAACCTACCAACATCTAGCAGAACAACTCACCTCCTAGGACCTGGCAGGAGAGTGTGACTTCAGCACCCTCTGGGAAGGGTCCCACAATACCAGCCACGCTGGTGTGAGTCTCGAAGTCACTGGTGATGGTCATCTTGCGAGGGGGAACTGAAATAGAATCAGCACCATACACTTTACAAGTCTTCTCCAGGCTGTTGCTGTTTGGTTTCAACTCAAAAATAAACTCTTCTTAGACACGAATCTAACTCATAATAACTGGATAAATAATCTTTACATTGAATATCACATCTAGTAATGAATTTTACTCATAAGAAAATCTTACTTGTGAGTAATATATTCAACAGTGTATATTTTTCAAGAGTAACGAATAACACTGTTGAGTAACGAGTAATATTGCAGTCATGATTTTTTTGACGAGTAGCGAGCAACGCCGTTAGCGGTATTGAAACTAATTCATTTCGTTGAGTAACCTTTTAGACAATGACACTGGTGACTCACGAAATCGTAATGACACGATTGGAAACAAACCACTGTACGGGTGGGGGTTGAACTCTCGGCAAGCGGGTCGTAAACTCCAGGCCAGGACGTGAGCCACTGGGTCAGCTGGCTACAATAAGATTCATTATTCGTGGCCACAGTGGAGACCTACGCTAATTTCCCTATGATTTAGAAATATACCTAGTTGGATGAATCATATTGTAGCCAGCTGGTCTACTGGCTTACGTTTTACAACTCAGGTGCCGTGAGTTCGAACCCCCAACCTAACATGTACAGTGGTTTGTATACTCGTACATTAAAACATAATAGTGAATAACTCTTGTAGCAATGAGTGCAGTTAGTGATGACTTACATTAGTAATGAATAACAATGGTGCGTAATAATGTGACTTACTGAATCTTACTGGTGAGTAATTAGTAACACTAATGGACACGAGTTTTTATACTAGTATAAACCTTGGTAATGGATACTGACACTGTTTATAGAAGACATATGAGCCAAAATCATAACATAGGTGATTTTTCAGGTCACCATGTGTCACACACCACTAATATTATATATATATATATATATATATAAAATTATATATATATATATTTATATTTTATATATATCGTGCCGAATAGGCAGAACTTGCTATCTTGGCTTAAAAAGCAACGTTCATCTTGCCATATAGGACAAGTGAAAATTTGTGTATGCAATAATTTCGCCAAATCATTTGAACCTAACGAAAAAAATAAATTTGATTGTGTTTGTTTAGTATTAAATTATTGTAGACAAAAACTGAAATATATTTGGTTGGTTTAGGCTAAATAAATTGTTTTGTTATAATAAGGTTAGGTATTGTCTTTCTAAGTTCCTTTTGGACCAAAATTATAAATTTTTAAATCAACAAAAATGAAAAAAATATATCTTTAAACGTATAAGAGAAAATTTTAGAAAGGACTTAAATTTTTAAACGAGTTTTGCTTTTTAACCATTTTTAATATTCGGCACGACATATATATATATATTATATATTATATATATATTATATATTATATATATTTATAAAAATTTATATTTATATATTTACAATAAGAACAGTAACAGGTGTTTTAAATATGAAAAAAAACCACTGTGAAAGAATAGTAAAATTTCCCCAAGCGCTTTCGTTACTACTCAATTGTCAAGAAAAAATGGGTCCTTGACAATGTGATAGTTCCCCAAAGCGCTTGAAATTTCACAGTGGGTTTTTTTGCGTATTATATATATATTATTATTATTTATATATTTTTATATATAAATTTATATATATATATTAAAATATATTATATATATATATGGAAGTACCACCTTATAGCTGGACTGGGGACCCCCCCTCAGAGAAGCAATAAACGTACTCAGGGAAAATCAAGGTTCTCCCCGGAGGTGTTTGAATGTTTTCTTCCCTACCACCCCTATATTTTATATTCTATGTGAACATTTATTAAAGAATACGTTTCGGAAAACACAAAAATGGGAAAACAATGGTACAATATATTAAAGATCATGAATTTCCTCCAGCTCCTCCGAAGCCGGACTCGAGCCAAGTATACAGCATGCATTTCCCCTCTGGATGGCCACGCTGAGGCGTGGAACATAAATATATATAATATTATAATTATATAATATATATATATATATATATATATATATAATATATATATATATATATATATATATATGCAAAACAACCACTGTGAAAGAATAGTGAAATTCCAAGCGCTTTTGTAACTACTCACATTATTAAGGAACAATAAAAGTAATGCATCAAAGGAAGACATATAAAAGGGTCCAGCCCACACCTCACTATCACATCCCACAACAAAGGAACACCTGGCGCGCGACTCATAAGAAAGAGAACACTGCAGCAGGTCCGCTGGCCAAACTAGACAGGTCCTTCACACAACCCACCAACAAACTATTCTACCCAAGAATTAAGAATTTTTAAATTTATTATTTGTCCAATACAACTCTGATACAGTAAAAAAAACTTATGATATAGAATTACCCCAAAAATGCTGACGGATATGTCTATAAGATTCCTTGTAAAATTTGCGATAAAGTTTACGGTCAAATTAGTAAAAGTGTCGAACTAAGATTAAAACAGCATAAATATAGCATTAGAACTGGACAAGATTCCAATGCTCTATTTATTCATGTGAGAGATTTTAACCATCGAATTGATTTTCAGAAAGTTGAGAAAGTAGAATCAAGCAAGTCCATGGTTGACAGAAATATAATTGAATCTTGTTTCATAAAAAGCAGTTTTGACAATAATATGAATATTTCCTTTGGTTTTATAAATTAGATCCATTTATAATTAATAGAATTTGGGAAGACTTTAATAATACATTGGACAAATAATAATTTTTAAAATTCTTATTTCTTGGGTAGAATAGTTTGTTGGTGGGTTGTGTGAACGACCTGTCTAGTTGGGCCAGCGGGCCTGCTGCAGTGTTCCCTTTCTTATGAGTCGCACGTCAGGTGTTGCTTTGTTGTGGGATCTGATAGTGAGGTGTGGGTTAAACCCTTTATATGCCTTCCTTTGATGCATTACTTTTATTGTTCCTTGATAATGTGAGTAGTCACGAAAGCGCTTGGAATTTCTCTATTCTTTCACAGTGGTTGTTTTGCATATTCTGAAATCACCTGTTTACTGTGATCCTATTGCATATATATATATATATATATATATATAATATATATATATATATATATATATATATATATATATATATATATGTGTTATAATATAGATGGGGTTGTAAAGAAGTAAATGCGAGGGTCTTGGCAAGAGGCGTGGAGTTAAAAGATAATCACTCACAAAGTGGGAGTTGTCACAGCTGCTCTTTGCTGATGACACTGTGCTCTTGGGAGATTCTGAAGAGAAGTTGCAGAGATTGGTGGATGAATTTGGTAGGGTGTGCAAAAGAAGAAAATTAAAGGTGAATACAGGAAAGAGTAAGGTTATGAGGATAACAAAAAGATTAGGTGATGAAAGATTGGATATCAGATTGGAGGGAGAGAGTATGGAGGAGGTGAACGTATTCAGATATTTGGGAGTGGACGTGTCAGCGGATGGGTCTATGAAAGATGAGGTGAATCATAGAATTGATGAGGGAAAAAGAGTGAGTGGTGCACTTAGGAGTCTGTGGAGACAAAGAACTTTGTCCTTGGAGGCAAAGAGGGGAATGTATGAGAGTATAGTTTTACCAACGCTCATATATGGAGTGTGAAGCGTGGGTGATGAATGTTGCAGCGAGGAGAAGGCTGGAGGCAGTGGAGATGTCATGTCTGAGGGCAATGTGTGGTGTGAATATAATGCAGAGAATTCGTAGTTTGGAAGTTAGGAGGAGGTGCGGGATTACCAAAACTGTTGTCCAGAGGGCTGAGAAGGGTTGTTGAGGTGGTTCGGACATGTAGAGAGAATGGAGCGAAACAGAATGACTTCAAGAGTGTATCAGTCTGTAGTGGAAGGAAGGCGGGGTAGGGGTCGGCCTAGGAAAGGTTGGAGGGGGGGGTAAAGGAGGTTTTGTGTGCGAGGGGCTTGGACTTCCAGCAGGCATGCGTGAGCGTGTTTGATAGGAGTGAATGGAGACAAATGGTTTTTAATACTTGACGTGCTGTTGGAGTGTGAGCAAAGTAACATTTATGAAGGGGTTCAGGGGAAACCGGCAGGCCGGACTTGAGTCCTGGAGATGGGAAGTACAGTGCCTGCACTCTGAAGGAGGGGTGTTAATGTTGCAGTTTAAAAACTGTAGTGTAAAGCACCCTTCTGGCAAGACAGTGATGGAGGAATGATGGTGAAAGTTTTTCTTTTTCGGGCCACCCTGTCTTGGTGGGAATCGGCCAGTGTGTTAATAAATATATATATATATATATATATATATATATATATATATATATATATATATTATATATATATATATATTATATATATATATATTAACAAGTCGGCCGTCTCCCACCGAGGCAGGGTGACCCAAAAAGAAAGAAAATCCCCAAAAAGAAAATACTTTCATCATCGTTCAACACTTTCACCGACAGCTATGTTGTGTTGCTGTGTCTGACAGCTATGTGGTGTTGCTGTGTCTGACAGCTATGTGGTGTTCCTGGGTCTGACAGCTATGTTGTGTTGCTGGGTCTGACAGCTATGTGGTGTTGCTGGGTCTGACAGCTATGTGGTGTTGCAGGGTCTGACTGCTATGTGGTGTTGCTGGGTCTGACAGCTATGTTGTGTTGCTGGGTCTGACAGCTATGTGGTGTTGCTGGGTCTGACAGCTATGTGGTGTTGCAGGGTCTGACAGCTATGTGGTGTTGCTGTGTCTGACAGCCATGTGGTGTTGCTGGGTCTGACAGCTATGTGGTGTTGCAGGGTCTGACAGCTATGTGGTGTTGCTGGGTCTGACAGCTATGTGGTGTTGCTGGGTCTGACAGCTATGTGGTGTTGCTGGTTCTGACAGCTATGTGGTGTTGCAGGGTCTGACTGCTATGTGGTGTTGCTGGGTCTGACAGCTATGTGGTGTTGCTGGGTCTGACAGCTATGTGGTGTTGCTGGGTCTGACAGCTATGTGGTGTTGCTGGGTCTGACAGCTATGTGGTGTTGCTGGGTCTGACAGC